AACAGAGAGCGTCTTTATAAATGTCTGAGCGTTCGTGCGTGTCTTAATGTACAACCACGACCAAAAGTCTCTTTACACGCGGGACACTTCAAACTACTGCAACGAGTCTCAATATTACTCGTTTAACTCATAGATGGCGCTGTTGTATCTCCTTTGGTTTTCTACAGTTTAGACCATGAGTGTAAAGGAACTTATGTTTATGACTGTACATAACAAACATTAAAACTACCTATATTCTAAGCATCTGAAGCAGTAATAAAATAAGACTTACTTTCACACACACACACACACACACACACACACACACACACACACACACACACGTACGTTTTAACCACCCACACCGCCATATCTTATTCGGTTTAATCGTCATGGGAAAGACTTCATCGCTGTTGACTTAGTACTGAGTTCATTATCCTGAAGACAAAAGGCAGGGCTCAATGTCAAAGGGTTAACAAGCAACATGAATTCAGAAAGGTGGAGATTCTGAATAACCTTGTAAATGGTTACCTGAGGAAGAAAGTGTCATTACAGCAATCATTTTATATTATATTACTGTATGTTATGTTACATTATATTATGTTATGTTAGTTTATATTATGTTATGTTAAGTTATGTTATGTTCACGGTGCGTCATGAGTAACTGATCTTTCATGCGTTTATTTATGGCTGCCTGGGATGAAATGGTCTTGTGTACCTAAGGTGGACACCAGCAGTGAATTAACATGAAAATAATAGCAATAATAAATTGTAGACACTCATTAGTAAATCATACTTACTGAGGGAGAAATACATACATAAATAATAGTTAACATTATCATCTACCAGTCTAACTTAATACATCAAAAATAACTAGTGACAGATACAAGGCAGACAAGTGGTTATTAGTGAGGTCCCCGCCACACACACACATACGTACACTAAAAGCCTTTAGGAAGACAAGACACTGGATGATGCCCTCCATGGTGTCCCCAGCCAGGTTGAAGGACCCGCACAGGTTCTTGACTCGGCCAGAGAGACCACCAGGATACTCCCCTTCGTCGGTACTGTCGAGGTCTTGGTCGTCGGAGGGGAGAACCAACTTGGGTCTGATTGATATGTGGTTGCCGGAGGGGCGTGAGCGGGCGCGGGTGGGCTGCTGGATACCTCCTGCGCCTATTCCCAGGTCAAGGGGAAGTGACCCAGCGCCACGCCCAGCACCCGCTAACACCTGCGCCGCGTTCTGTATCCTGATGTTATTGTACCTGGACACAGCGACGCCGTTCTCTTCTCCCTTAGCAAAAGGCAACTTTCCGTTCTGAACTTTGTGGCGCCTGACACTCTCCTCGATAGTACGGTAGGTATGGTGGTAGGCCGCGGAGGGCAGACCATTGATGGTGGAGCCAGAGGTTGGGTGGTCCAGGCTCCTCTCCAAGCCCATATCAAACCAGCCCACACGGAGGTCTGCCGCCTCGTGTTCCCTACACGCATTGATAGGAATGTTAGCGCCATGGTAGTAGTTGTTGTTTTCTTGTATCTTTTCACTTTCTCCGTTCACGAGTACCGGCGCCTGGGTGTGTGGTCCAAGTGCAGTACTTACTGTTCGATGGAGAGCCTCAGGTCGGGCTGCCAGGCAGTTTTTAGAGGCACAGTGATGTGTGTCTTTAGCGTCGAGGAGCGCACTACAAGGCCCACGTGAGTCACCAGAGGCGTCGGGGAGGCGGGTGTCGCGGTACAAGACCAGTGTTGACTGTGAGTGTGGGCGTTGATGGGCTGCGCCTGGCTGGCCGCCCTTCCCTAGCTCCCCCACACATGACCCCTTCATGGGGCCGCCCTCCGCCCTCACCCCTGCCCCGAGTGCACGAGGCGAAGGCGACGACGAAGACGACGATGAGGGTGAAGGAAAGGAAGAGGAGAAGGCGTTTGAGGGCGAGGTAAAGGGGTTGGAAGACGAGGTGAAGGCGTTGCCGAGCGTGGCAAAGGTGCTGGAGGACGAAAGGAAGGTTTGGGAGGACAGGCTTAAGGTTTTGGAGGACGATGTGAGGACGTTGTTGGAGGAGGAGGAAGGGAGGTTGGTGGCGGCAGAGGCCTGGGGTAGAGGGCGAATCCCACGAAGCGGAGTGTCCCTCCACACCTCCATGTAACACGCACTTCTCCCAGCCTCACATGTTGAACTTGTAGTAACACAAACACTGAGTCACAAACACTATCACTTCGTTACAGCACTAACACTTGGTCACAACACCATCACTCACAAACACTTTATAACATTATTTCACTTATCACTTCGTTATGACACTTACCACTTGGTCGCAACACAAACACTTTCACTATCAACACAGGTAATACTCACTGTCTACCTAATTCAGGTATCAATAAATTTCCTAAATTTCCCTGATTGGAAACCACAATACAAAAGGTATTCGTTATCAGTATTGTTCAATGTCCTGATAATAACCAATAAAATGCACTGCTGTAAATGTCTTTATAAAGGAGTAAAAATCTCCTTTAATTTTCTGAAAACCTGTAACACCAACATACAATAGTTCAACCAACGACACAAGTCACCAACTAATACACTTTATATAATAATTATATCACCACCATCCACCAGCGCCCTCCGGGGAAAAAATTAAATACATTAAACCCTCTGTATAATGGTCACCCTATATAACGGAACCCGGTTATAAGGGACACCTCAACTTATCGGACAAACCCTCGTTACTGCATGGATAATAACTAGAAGAACGGTAATACTGAATGAAATAGAGGATTTACTGTAAAAAAAAAATCCTGTGGAAAGAATTTAATGAACTTTTACGAAACGTTTCTCAAGGATGAAGATTACGTGATAGAAAACAACAACGTTATCTACTAAATGTTGTAATATTGTCGTGAAGTTGTGGTATTTTGGCTTACTCCATCCAGGCATTGTATGTATCACCTGCACTAAAGAAGCCCATGGAGAAGGCATCACCATATTGTAATTGTATGTATGTATGTATGTATGTATGTATGTATGTATGTACTGTATGTAGTCCTAACAAAGGTATAGTAGCCTCCAACAACTACAAGAGACACACAGAATCAACAAACAGTCAATACACACTCTAATATCACTTCAAGGAAAGGCACTTGGGCTGTGACGTTCCAATATCAATCCCATTCATCCCCTGGACTATGACAGACGCCCATCCGCCCGCCTACACTGACAACACAATGTTTTCTCAATTTGTACAAGCTTTGACCAGAGTGACGGCAACGAGGCAACGGGACGGAATGAGGAAGACAGGACGAACAGGGGGTGGACAGAGTGGAACGAGACGGAATGAGGAAGACAGGACGGACGGGGGGGTGGACAAGGTGAAACGGGACGGAATGAGGAGAAACGGGAAGGGTGGATAGGGTGGAACATCATCATAACTACCATCAACTAGCTACATAATGAAGCAATTCTCACATCAAAACTAATTCAGAAACTAAACCGTGACGCAGACTCGATCGTAAAACAAAATAACAAAGATAATCCCAAATAAAACAGCAGAAAAATAAATAAAAACAGGAGAGAGAGAGAGGAGAGAGAGAGAGAGGAGAGGAGAAGTACAACAATATCCCGAAGGAATGTCAATGCACTTGGTTGTGGCGAGGACTGAGGGGGGAGGGGAGAGGAGGGGAGGGGGGAGGGGGAGGAGGGAGGGAGAGGAGAGGAGGGGAGGGACAGGAGGGGAGAGGAGGGGAGGGGAGAGGGGGAGGGGAGGAGAGGGGAGGAGAGGGGGAGAGGAGGAGAGGGGAGGAGAGGTAGGAGGAGAGGGGGAGATAGAGACGGGGGTGCAAACAATGGAGTCCCTGAAATGAATTTTGTTATTGTAATACATCTTTTAACACCTGGGATACAGCTTTACCTCGGCCTTAATGTGGTGGTGAGTGTTTGTGTGCCTGTGTTTGTTGATTGTGTTTTTGGTGTGTGTGTGTGTGTGTGTGTGTGTGTGTGTGTGTGTGTGTGTGTGTGTGTGTGTGTGTGTGTGTGTGTGTGTGATCTAAACTAACCTAAGCAAACCAAGACAAACTTAGCTAACCTAAAGTAGAGACTTACGACATCCTAACAAAACCACATTTGACTTAAACTAAACTAATTATTTTCACAGATAAATTCATAACATTCAAGACCAATTAATTATTTACTGTTTTCATTAGATTCGCCATTAATAAATATTAAATATAAACGAGTCATTACATTAACGGCATTTATCACCTTTAATGGCACTACAAACCCCGATTATGGCATAATATAATGTGGTGTGTGGGAGACATCTCTCGTGGCGCCTTCATAAATAATCATCCCTTAAGAGTGGCGCCGAGGGTAAGGCTCCACCCACACGCTTCAGTCCTTATACACCACAGTTTAGTTGTGTATATGAAGGTCTTCCCTGACTCCTTTACACTGTGTCAGTCGTGTTAAGACTCAACTTATTATGTTCAATGTTTCTCGTATACTCCTTTCACTCCTCTGTCAGTCTTGTGTGGATTAAAGGGTACAGAAACCTCATGTGTGGGGGGGGGGTGATATAATGGTTAGAATTTAGGTGTATAAGGGCGAGTATTTATCATGCATCTCAACATTAGTCTGAACGGGTCAATATTTCAAGGAGGGGATCACAGCAGAGACTCAAACTAGCACTGGGACGATAGCTATGTGTGTTTGTTTGTAGAAAGGGATGTCTATAGTGTGTCTATAGTGTGTCTATAGTGTGTTTCCAGGATATGTATGGTTATATTTCCTCAAAGCCTCAGAATGTTTGCACGCGTTTAATTAAGTTCAGAGTTCCTAATTGATCTGACACTATTTTCACGCCTACAGACACTCTACACATCTTCTTTACACACAGGTATAAAAGTGTTATGCCAATCTTGGACTCAAATAAATTTATGAATGTCAGTATTATTTAAATATATAAAACCCATTAGAGGAATAACAACTACACTATTAACATCTACTTTCGAGTGAAGTTTCGCCAATAGCTCTATCTACTTCTCCAACTTTTAAATGAATCGCCAATTAACCAGAACTCGATTCCAATGTTGAAACGCAGTTGAAAACTCTCAAGTCTGGAGCCTGGAGGACCTTGCCTGATTAAGTTCCCGACTGTAATTCGCTGGAGAATTTTGGTGTGATCAGCTCCCGGCTAATCAAATATCCAGTTGTAATTAGCAGAAGGATCTTTGTGACAGCATCTGGGAGGCTATGACCCACGGTGGCGATGGGGTCACGGAGAACGGGTCACTTATTGAACGAGAGCAAAGTGCCTACGTCAGCGCGATAAAGGCTACACTAGTTACGGTAAATTATCAGTTATTTTTTAATGGTGATAACTTGATAAAAATGCCATTATTAAACAACATTTAAATGAAGTAGACAAAATATGAGGAAAATACCGAGAATTTTTGTGTAAGGAGTATGTTACATTGGTCTCTTCACAGCAAAATCCATATCTCAAAAACGCTGTCATGGATTTACAAGGCGGGAAGACGGCTAAACTGGAAGCCACACAACAAACACGAAGGAAGGAGAGAGACAACAATACAATACCAAATTCTCTCCACCGTTGCTTTTATCTTACATGTACAACTCTATCATTCCTACACAGAACACCCACACTTTCCTTCTCTCATAAAAAAACTAAAATATTCCAACTTCCTTAATTGGAAATCTAATTTTTTTTCCTCACGAAAACAAAAAATATAGAAGTCTCAAGTTTTGTTATTTAATTTCGTCTCCCTTACTTCCTCAAAATTACATAAGAACTACGCAGTTACAGCTAACCATTATAGTTTCAAAATAAATATACAAACAGTTAAAGTCATATAAAGTCTTTGTAATATCAGCTCAGTAAAGCCAAACATTATAATAGACTTTCAAATTACTTAGTCCTCAAATTACAAGAAGAACTACACATTTAGGTTCTCTCTAAATCTTCAAAATTACAAAATGAAGTCCGGGAAATAGTGCTCCTTTAAAACTTGATCCACGAGATCGTTAATGTTGGGAGAAGGAGGAAACCTAATTATTGAGAGCCGCCCATTGATGAGGCCGCCCACTGACGAGGCCACCCACTGACGAGGCCACCCAAAGACTAGGCCACCCACTGACGAGGCCACCCAAAGACGAGGCCACCCAAAAACAAAAAACCATCTTCTGACAAACTAACCACAACATGAACTTTGCAACCAGCAGATTTTATCAATGGGGACTGACTGGCTGATAGAATGAGATGCATCGAGTCAATCAGGAACTCTTTCATTTACTTTATCTTTATCTTCTACAATTGCAAGTTAAACTAACAACTAAATGGTGATCTAGAATGATATCACAAGCCAGGGAAGTAAAAATAAACAAGTGAAATATATCGATAACGTAAATATCTTAAAAGTGAAAAAGAAAAGGTAAATTATAACAAGCAACGCCCAATTTAATCACCAATCCCCTTCTAATATTCACCTGGAGTGTCTCAACCAATCATCAGGTTCCTTTTATTTGGCTCAGAGTATAGTTCAGTCACTCACCATACACAACACAGCCGACTTGATCTGTTCAATCTCCGTAAACGACAAATATACAGTACACAAGGTTCATAAACATACCTAAAAATACATACATAGCCTACTGTATATGCCGTACATATATACATAAATATTATACACATACAACATACACAAACATACCAAATATACACATACCCAAAATTAATTGCACACATAAATACATACCAATATGCATACAACTATTTGCACATATATACACATGAATATACAAACACCACCAAATTACACATATACATCAAAATACAAACACCCATACATACAAACGTGCAACCATACGAAAAATACATACACACACTTAAAACACACACATTCATCCATACACACACACACATACATACGTAAGCTCACAAACATAAACGAGAACTGTGGTATAAGTTAAAAAAAAAATCATACAAGTATTCAGTCACACCATTTTCAGTTCTACAAATGTAAACACAGTGTTGGCCCCGTGTACGTTCATTCATGCATGCTGCCACCCACAGGTAAACAAACAATAAAAAACACACACAAACGAAAAACAAAATAACACTTTACGTTTATTTTTGTCGTTGGTGTCGTTGTTATTTATAATGTTTGTGTTTAATTTAAAGGCTTCAACTGCCAGTGTTATTGAAGCACCTTTCGTGTAGGTTGGAGTTTTAGGCGCTTCAACTGCCAGGGTTATGAAGCACCGAGCATAAGGTTGTATTTGTCCGTGCTTCAACTGCTAGTGTTATGAAGCACCGAGAGCATAGGTTGGATTCAGGCGCTTCAACTGCCAGGGTTATGAAGCACCGATCGCACACGTCTTAGTTATTGGTGAATCATCTAAATTTAACTAGGAAGGTTATGAAGCACAGTTTACTTTGGTGCTTATTTTTGGATGGTTCAACTGCCAAGGTTACGAGAAAATGCCAAGACGTTATACAGTAATCATGTTGA